ATGTATGTATGTATGTATGTATGTATGTATGTATGTATGTATGTATGTATGTATGTATGTATGTATGTATGTATGTATGTATGTATGTATGTATGTATGTATGTATGTATGTATGTATGTATGTATGTATGTATGTATGTATGTATGTATGTATGTATGTATGTATGTACAGTGGGGTCGTGTTTCTTAGATATTTTATCAACACACGTAAATAGGTACGTACGTAGGTATGTACAGTGGCGGACCCAGAAAATTTGGGTCGTTGGGTCGAACATAAATAAAAATGTACTTTCTTTTCACATTTTTGTCTCATTTCAGTTTATAATGTTTAACTTAAACATTTTTTAAAATTTATTTAAATATTGGTGTCGAATAAAAATTTAAAACTGTAGATTTAAAAATAACATAAAATATTTTATGAAATAAGACATTTCATTACTATAATTTTTAATAAAATGATAGAAGAAAATATGTAAAGAACAAATATCTAATTTAACTCTGTGAATAATGGATAAGACAAGCATAACGAGATGATGGAGGTAACTCATAAAATTAATTTAGATGAATAGTAACTTTTATTTCGATACCAATTCGTAAATAAAGTAAATAAAGTATATATAAAAGATTTTTTTATTTTAGAGTTGTTAAAAAAAGTAAAATCAATTATGTGAGGAAAGAATATGAGTAGGCATTGAAGGAATGAAATAAAAAAAAGAAAAACAAAAAAGAAACGTACAAAAAAAATAGAAAAGGAAAACAAAATAAACAGTATGTAGCTTGATAAAGCAGAAGCCCAGTTTCGAACTCTCAGCCTGCTAACGAATTCGCATCGGCAGTGCCGCCGCCTTCCACTCCGTCTACAGATCAATGTGGAAACTAGTGCGTTTCAGTAAATATATAGTTATACTATATTTCTACCTAAATATATATAAATATATATAAAAAATTACAAAATTTCCATGGGGTCGCGTGACCCCGTGTGACTCTACGTGGGTCCGCCCCTGGGTATGTAGGTATGTAGGTATGTAGGTATGTAGGTATGTATGTATGTATGTATGTATGTATGTATGTATGTATGTATGTTGCCATTGTCGGTTACGAGTGTTAAATGGGCTCCCGACGGAAGGCATGTTGCCATTGGCTTGAATAATTCTGATGTCCAGCTTTGGGATTCCACGGCTAACAGATTGGTATTCTTCTTCTCAAGCTCTTTTGTATTCAGTCTTGGTTTGTTTTCTTTCGATGATTGAATGAATACTGAGTTTTTGTTTGCTGGGCAGTTACGAACTTTGAGAGGTGGCCACCAATCACGAGTAGGAGCCCGCGATTGGAACAATCATATACTGACAACAGGTGGGATGGATGGTATGATTTTCAGCAATGACGTCCAGGTGAGATCACATATTGCGGAAACCTACAAAGGACATAGTCAAGAAGTGTGCGGCCTAATATGGTCTGCCTCGGGCCAGCAGTTGGCAAGCGGAGGAAACGATAACCTTCTCTATATATGGGACAGATCATCGACTGCTGTTTCTTCTTCCAACTCCACCTCCTCAACCACACAATGGCTTCACAGGTTCGAGGAACACACAGCTGCAGTTAAGGCCCTTGCCTGGTGTCCATTTCAGGGGAACCTTTTGGCCTCAGGCGGAGGTGGAGGAGACCGGTGCATTAAGTTCTGGAATACTCATACCGGTTCAAGTGTGAACTCAGTTGATACAGGGTCTCAGGTGTGCGCATTGCTGTGGAACAAGAGTGAGCGCGAGTTGCTTAGCTCTAATGGGTTTACTAAGAATCAGCTCACGCTCTGGAAATACCCATCAATGGTTAAAATGGCAGAGCTTACGGGACATACCTCTCGAGTTCTTTTTATGGCTCAGGTTTAA